TAAACACCAATGAAATACCAGTTGAGCTTTCAAGTGAAAACATGGTATCTTCTCATGTGAAAAGATCACCGTTGCTATGGTTACATAATAAGTTCCACCTTTCGCAAGAAAAAAATGTTTAAGTGAAATGGTCTGGCATTGCATTGGTGTTTGTATAACAATAGAACTTTACATGGCCGCTTGGAGAAACAAATTTTTTCTTTGTTTCGTATCTTCGTTGGGCCATGTAAAATCCTCTATATCTTGAAACGAATATAAGAAAAAATGAACATCTTTTGTTCTTTATTTTTTTAATGATTCATACTAAAGTAAGAATTTGTTAACATGTAGTAAAACAAATCTAACTCACCTGACAGATTGCACGAAGGCTGAAATGAGCTTCTTTCCAGTTAGATTTCATTATTACATTCTTCAAGAAAATGCTCACTTTCCCAATTTTGTGTAGTTTCCGATTAAAAAGTGAAACATAGGGCCGGACTTAAATGATCAAATCACATTTTACCACCCAGGTCACATTACCATCCCAAAGGCGTATTGCTCAGTTAACCTTTCACATTTCAAGGTGCGACTATAGCGTGTGCGTTGAAACGAATGGGAGAAATCTTTTTTCACTGAGAATGCAGGTATGTTAAATCCAATCGGTCTCTGTCAAGATTGCCTAGTTTAGTACTTAATGGATGGGTTTTCTTATCTCCATAACAATCATTATATAATTGTTGAATTCTATATGTAAGTTTGAATCTTCTACACAGAAGTGGGATTCACGGGATCACTGGGGTTGTTTTCGAAATTTTTTTTTGATTTTCCAAAGGATAAAATTTCTGTTAACATGATTAAAACCAACGTACAAAGAAGTATGGTAATTTTATTTTAATAGCCAAAAGTCAAGGCCTGAATCGGTCTTTCCCCCCGCAGGGATTTCACCCAGAAGGTGAAATCCTAAGAAGGCATCCTAGTAGCAGGGGCACCCAACATCAATTTTCGGAAAATATCTGTTCGGACGACGATTTGAGATCTAGAATTTTCGGAAAATTTCTTGTAATGTTTCTTGCTTGCCTGCCTCTCCTAGGATTTTCGAACATGTAAAAAATGGTATAATTGCCCATTTTAGAGGGATTTTTACCCTAAAAAGGTAACGTAGAATTTTCGGGAGCCTTTTTTCTGGCTGAAATTTTTAAAAAAGGTGAGTTTTGATCCCTATAATTTTCGGATCACTAGACTTTCAGCTAGGAAATCCGAACAGATGAAAAATTTTTAGGGGATAAAAATATGCCTATATCTACTGTTTAAATACTAAAATACGTTTAACAATGCTATTTTTGATTGGTTTTGAAATATATTCTCGTTGGGTGCCCCTGTAGTAGCTCGCGCGTATATAAACGAAAGTACGTACAGTTAAACTTGTAGTTTCCAATGGAAAGTGAAGTGCTGCGAGTAACGCGTGACATTTCAAATAGTTTGAATCAGTTGCAATTTCTTTCGATTTTTGATATTGACATTAACAGTGTCAAATAACTGTGCATGTAATGCAAACCGACACGTAGGTGAAAAAAGTGTGTGTATCAAGCTAAAATTGTATAAAAGTCCGTGAGAATTCATCAGCGTATTATTTGTCTGAAACCTGTCCACGATAAGGTTTAGAGCACGCGAGCGAACGAGTGAATTTCCAATCGAGTTCAATGTTAAACTGGTTCATTACGCTTCGCGAGCGTATCAAATCATTTTCAGTCTTTGCTTCTGTCGTGTATAAACGTTTTACAGGGGCACCCAACGAGAATATAGTTATACTTATATTGTTATACTTATTTTAGTATTTAAACGGTAGATATAGGCATATTTTTATCCCCTAAAAATTTTTCATCTGTTCGGATTTCCTAGGTGAAAGTCTAGTGATCCGAAAATTATAGGGATCAAAACTTACCTTTTCGAAAATTTCACCCAGAAAAAAGGCTCCCGAAAATTCTAGGTGACGTTTTAACGGTAAAAATCCGTTAAAAATGGGCAATTATACCATTTTTTACATGTTCGAAAATCCTAGGAGAGGCAGGCAAGCAAGAAATTTTACAACAAATGTTCCGAAAATTATAGATGTTAAATCGTCTTCCGAACAGATATTTTCCGAAAATTGTCGTTGGGTGCCCCTGGTTTTACTACCAAGGGAAGATCAAACCTTGTTACACGTTCCAGAAAAGCTCTTAATAACTAAACCAATTTATCAATTAAGCTTAAATAAATACAACAAAACCTGGCCGAATACAAATTTGCCCAAAACACCGAATTTGTTTACAGTAGAGTTCCGGTAATTGCTTCAAGTATTCTTAGAAACGTATCGCTTCAAGTCACGGGAAAGTCATAGTTCGATACTCTTATGCGTTACGTGTGTGTTCACTGACTTTCTGTGGAGCAGCTGTGTTAAAAGTATTAAAGGAAAACTGAAATTATCTTTTTTTTGTCTCTTCTTACTCTCTTAAACAAGCATCAACTCCTCACAGACCACGAGAGAGAAATTCTCGTGTTTGACCGAAATTATGGACTTAAAGTTGAGCGCAACTTAAGTTTTAGTGGCGTATAACTGTGTATAAGCATTTGGAGGATTTGCCAGACACGAATTTATCATTCACAAATCTTTGATTGGAAACGATTTAAATTTGTCACACAGAAATCACTTTGGGTCCTTGATTGTAAGACTCAGTCCATGCACAAACGAACGAGCAATTTTCCTGAACGATCGAGTCAATCAAGTTAGCTTATCAGCAGAACGGTGGACGATTACAATAGCCTGCGAGCAGAGGCTACATTTTCGCAGTGTGAGTGAAGTGCGTAGCAGTACTTTTCGCACGCCAGCTCACAAAAATGTAGACTCTGCTAGCAGGAAAGACGATTACCGCAGAGATTCCCCAACAATTAAATTCTGTTGAATTCTGTCACGTTGATGCCTCCCTTTTCACAAATGTCCCTCCATACAGCTTTTTTAAAGCAAAGTATTTTCTTAAATACCTTTTGACTAGAACGCGGGTGTGAGTGAATTCTCGAAACTCGAGGATCTTTTGATCAAAGCTGCGGAAATCGACCTGACTAAGTGCATGGAATCTTAACTTGCGTTTGCTACTTTTACCTCACCTATTGACTTGTTATGTGTGAAAATCTTCAATATGAATCGGTATATTTCAAAGAGCTACACAAAGACCAAGGCTACAATTGACTGACAACTGATACAGAGCGGGGGCACCTGTAGTATCAGCTATTACTAGTTAGTACAGAAGTAGCAGTGGAAAGGGAGGAATCCGCAAATGTTTGATCGTGCGTCCAAACTTTTGCAGGCCATTAAAACTGTTTTACAGCTAAAAACGTCCACCCCCTGTACATTTTTTTTAGTAAACTTCAACTACGTAAGTTATTTCTGCTGTGGTGCTTATAGTAGAATCCGGCATATGTCTGAATTTTTACTTTTAGTCTATATATAGCAGCTTTGAAGCAGTCATGCTTCCCTTTCAGTTTCTTGAGGAAATGATGTAAATTACTGGAAGATTTCGTTTTCATGGCAAAGCTAATTCATTGTTTAGGGTATTCGTTTTCACATTTCAGCTTTTTTAGCATTGATTTTGGGAGTTAATTTAAAATGACTACAAACGGGAAATTTAAAACCGAAAATGGTTGATAATCATGTCAATTTTATGGTGCATCAATTTGAAAAGACAGTGGAACTCCCCTCAGATAGCCCAAAGGGAGAATCTGCATCTAAGTTCTTTTTATTATATCACCAAGTCCGTAATAAAAATTCTCCTTAACCCCAAAGGGCTGATAGAAACCTGTATTGAAAATATCAACGATAATATTAATGCGTGAATGACTAAAACGTACGCAGTGCTTTCTAGATTATATGTCTAATGTTGCTTGAAAAACGACACGGATGGCAATCCGACAGGTGGCTAATATCGATTGCAAAACGTTGTAGCGCAGTTTTAAAATAACTAGCTGTTAAGGGGCATAAGTGTCTGCTTGTGGTTTGGGTGGATAAGGCGATGTCTTGCTACGTTTTCTAATTTTAATAAACCATTTACACGATTTCAGGAAGGAACGCCTCCGCAAAGCAAAGTTTGTTCGTGAAGGCCATCGCTTGGTGCATGCGATACAGGATAAGCAGTATCTTTTTTCAACGTTATGGTTATTAGTATAGGTAATAGCATGATTAGTAGTGATATTTGGCAGAAATGCCACGAGTGATTTTTCAAAATTGTTCTACGTAATTTCTCGGGCCGTTAGGCGAGTGAAATTTGAGACAAGTTTGAAATATCACAAGCGGTATTTACGCCAAATATCACGTACAAACCATGCTACTATTTGTTTATACTACTACCCGCAAACGGTATGTAATTTACACATAAGCCAATCAAATTGCAGTAATTTCTCATGTAGTAGTAAAAACCCTTCAATTCCGCCAGTCACATCCAAATTATCCACACTGGTCTCCAAACATTAATTTCCGTAAGAAATTTGTGAGAGAATTTATTTTAAGACTAAGCATTTTCCCTTAGGTGGTCTCTCCTGAAATGACAAAATGAGCATTTGATTCAGCACAGAAAAAGTTGGACGCTTGAACAGTGTGCCTTAGGTTTATGAATGGGTAGAATTGAGAGTAGCAGTGGTTACATCACGTTGCCATGGTAGCAAAATTTCTGTCTCTCAACAAACTGTGGTCCTGCAAATATGACAGAAAAACGAAAAAGAAAAGACATGTATGACTTTACCGTGCATGGTTGCACTCAAGATCAAAATAGTAGCCCATACTTTTCTTCCATTGTGCGACAATGCAAACGGCCGTCTCTGTCAAGAAAGATTGTGGAGATTAGTCCAGAAATTTTGCTACCATGTTAACGTCATGTCGCACTTCTCTTCTATATTAGGCGATAAATCAGTAGCTACGTACTTTTCCAGAGGAAAAAAATGGATTAAAAATATCACTTACGTCCTTAATAATTTATCAAGACTGAAAATAAATTATGGATCCTGAAGGATATATCAACCTTGGCGATACCTCTCAATCTGAAGGTAATTTCAAACAAGCAATCGGGTTTTATCAGCGTGCACTTTCTACCGCAAAAGAGATTGGAGACAAACAGTCAGAAGAGATTGCTTATCACTACCTTGGCAACGCCTATCATTCTCTCAATGACTTCAAAAAAGAAATCGAAAACCATCAGCAGGCTCTCGTCATCGCGAAAGAGATTCAAGATAAAAGCCTTGAAGGAGTTGTTTATTACACTCTTGGCAATGCTTATCACCTTCTCAGTGATTTTAAAACAGCAATCGTGTTCCATCACCAGGCTCTTGGCATCGCAGAAGAAATTGAAGTCAAACAATTAGAAGGAGGTGCATGCATCAGCCTTTTCAATGCCTATCGTTCTTCAGGTGATCTAAAAACGGCAATCAAGTTCTATCAGCTGGCCCTACGCATCGCCGAAAGGAAAGGCATCAAGGATTTCGAAGGAAAGGCATATGTCAATCCTGAGAGTGAACATCTCTGTCTTGAAGATGTCGAGAAAGCCGTAGCCTTCCATAAACTGGGCCTTACTACTGCAAAAGAGATTGGAGACAAAGATTCAGAAGCAAAGGCACATAACAACCTTGGTCTTGGATATCACTCTCTCGGTGAATTCAATAACTCAATCGAGTTTTATGAGCAAGCTTTAAGTATTGCTAAAGAGATTGGAAACAAAGATCTAGAAGGAAGTATATACTCTAACCTTGGCATGACTCATAAGTACCTCGGAAATTTCAAGAAAACAATTGAGCTCAACGAACAAGCTCTTGGTATTGCTGAAGAAATTGGAGACAAAGATTCAGAGGGAAGGGCGCATATCAATGTTGGCAGTGCCTATCGCTCTCTCGGCGATCTGAAAAAGGCGATCAAGTTTCTTCAGCTGGGTCTTAGTATCGCAAGAGAGGCTGGCAACAAAGAATCAGAAGGAACTGCATATAACAACCTTGGTAATGCACATCTCTCTCTCGGTGATTTAGAAAGCGCAATCGAGTATTTTAAACAAGCTCGCAGTATCGCAACAACGATTGGTCACAAAGAGATAGAAGGAAAGGCGCATAACAACCTTGGTAGTGCGTATCACTTTGTCGGTAATTTTACCAAGGCAATCGAGTGCAGTCAGCAAGCTCTTAGTATCTCTAAAAAGATTGGAAAAAAAGATGCAGAAGCAAATGCATATAATAACCTTGCCAATGCCTATCACTGTCTCGGTAAATTCGAATACGCAATCGAGTATTATCAGCAATTTAGTGATATGGCAAAAGAGATTGGAGACCATGATTCAGAAGGAAATGCGTATAATAACCTTGGTAATGCCTATCACAATCTCGGTGATTTTAAAAAGGCAATTGACTTCCACCAACAAAGTCTTAAGATCGCACAAGGTATTGGAAAAAGAGATTTAGAAGGAATTGTACATAACAACCTTGGAAACGCCTATCAGTGTCTTGGTGATTCACAAGAGGTAATTAGGTGTTATAAGCGAGCTAAAAGTATCGCCAAGAAGACTGGAAACAGAGTTTCAGAAGGATGTGCAACTGGGAATCTTGGGTATGTTTATTACTCTCGCGGTGATTTGGAAAACGCCATGGAGTTTTACCAAGAAGCTCTTAGTATCCTGAAAGAGATTGGACACAAAGATTCAGTAGGAGTTGTGTACAACAACCTTGGTCTTGCGCATCAGTACCTCGGTGACAATAAAGAAGCAATGGTGTTCCACCAGAAAGCTCTTACTATCGCAAAAGAGACTGGAAAAAAAGATTCAGAAGGAGAAGCATATAAAAGCCTTGGAAATGCCTATCACTTTCTTCATGATTTCGAAAGAGCAATCGAGTTCCACCAGGAAGCTGTTAGTATCGCAAAACGGACCGGAAAAAAGGATTCCGAAAAAGAAATGATGAGAATCTGGGTATTGCCTTTCAGTCTCTCGGTGACTTTTCTAGAGCTGAGGAATTTTTCAAACGCAGTATAAAACTATTCGAGGAAATAAGACTTCTTCTCCAAGAGAAAGACGAATGGAAAATCAGCTTTCGGAATCAATTTGAGGTGTACAATATTTTGTGCAGTCTTCAAATACAACAAGGCAAGACAACCGAGGCGCTTTCCACAGCTGAGTGGGGGCGAGCGCAAGCCCTCGCGGACCTCATGGAATCGCAATATGGGGTAAATTCAACTCTGTCAGTTTCAGAAGAGCAGAGGGAACAAATGTCAAGCATTTCAAGCCATAGTTTATCACCTACGGTATTCCTCTGGGAAGTCTCCGAATCAGTGAATTTCTGGGTACTACTGAAGGGGCAGCAGTGCCAGTTTGCGAGAAATAAATTCAATGACAACTTGGCATCTTTGACGCACATGATGTACAAACAAATTGGTGTTTTCAAACCTGTCATGTGCGAAGACTGCTCCATGGATGATCCTGCAGATGAAGGACGCCAAGAATTATCTCATTGTAGGGGTCCAGATGAGAAAACGGATACACATGATACACAGGATGAGGGATCTGTTTCAAAAACATTATATGACGTGATTATTGCTCCCATTTTACACTTGATAAAAGGAAATGAGCTTATCATTGTTCCTGATAGTTCATCGTTCTTGATTCCTTATGCTGCCCTAATGGATCAACATTCCAGTTATTTGTCTGAAACGCTAAGAATTCGATTGGCTCCATCACTAACCAGCTTAAGGCTGCTAGCAGGGTGTCGGAGGGGTACCATAGTTCGTCCGGTGCTCTTCTTGTCGGTAATCCGTGGGTGGAAACTGTACGCATCAAAGGCAAAAAAATCCGGCAACTTCCGAGTTCCGAGGAGGAAGTACAAATGATTGAGAAGATGCTGAATATTGAGCCTCTCACTGGAAAAAACGCTACAAAAGACCAAGTGTTAAGCATTGTTCACTCAGTTTCCTTAGTACACATTGCAGCTCATGGTCGAGCAGAAACTGGTGAAATTCTTTTGTCTCCTAATCTTGCTAGTTCAGAAACGCCCAAAGAAAAAGACTTCCTTCTGACGATGGCCGACGTGTTGAGTAAAAAGTTGCAGGCCAAGCTTGTTGTCTTGAGCTGCTGTCACAGTGGGCGAGGGAAGATCAAATCCGAAGGTGTGGTTGGAATTGCACGTGCCTTCTTAGGAGCCGGTGCACGTTCTGTTATTGCGTCACTGTGGGCGATTGAGGACAAAGCAACTATGGAGTTTATGACAAACTTTTACAAACATTTCATGGCAGGGCAAAGCGCAAGTGAGCTTCTCAATCTGACCTTGAAACAAATGCGGAAGTCTGACGAGTTCTGTGCTGTAAAGCAGTGGGCACCATTTGTGCTGATTGGCGATGATGTGACATTGAATTGTAGCCAATGAAGGTAAGGTTCTCACTATAACTAAGTTTTATTGTCATATTTAACCCTTTACTTTCTTAAATCCAATTTAGATACCGTAAATCCTCTATTAAGCCCCCCGGAGGGCTTATTTTTTTCAAGCACTTTTGAGGGGGGGCTTAATAGAGAGGGGGGGCTTAAAAGAGAGGGGGGCTTATTTAATTTAGCGAAACGCATCACCTGTAGCAAAAATACCGTGGTATGAGACAGAGTGGACTTACGCATTGTACAATTAAAGTCACCGTCAAAAGTATTTAATTCACTTGTGAGAGCCTAAAAGTAACAAAAACAAATTCTTATTCTTCAAAAATGTGCCTTCGACTTCATGTTCTTCGGTAATTTTTATGAATAAACCATAACTGATCAGTCCACGTTAATCGTTATTTTTTTTGTGAAGAATAAGGATTGGACTGAGGAGGGGGAGGGGGGGACTTAATAGAGAGGGGGGCTTATTAACTTTCCTCCTCTGAAAAGGGGGGGGCTTATTAGAGAGGGGGGGCTTAATAGAGGATTTACGGTACTGACAGGAAACCAAACCGATACTAACTTCGGTGAATTACTGAAGCGAAGCGTTCTTTGATTAGTAGGAATTTGGAGCGCAACCTTGTCAGGTTCTCCTCTGTTTTCGATTTTCTACGTTGTCGTACGTTATGTGGCTGCGGAAGGCCAGTACTAATTGTCACGTTTTGGCANGCTTAATAGAGGATTTACGGTACTGACAGGAAACCAAACCGATACTAACTTCGGTGAATTACTGAAGCGAAGCGTTCTTTGATTAGTAGGAATTTGGAGCGCAACCTTGTCAGGTTCTCCTCTGTTTTCGATTTTCTACGTTGTCGTACGTTATGTGGCTGCGGAAGGCCAGTACTAATTGTCACGTTTTGGCAGAAATGATTAGCAAGTTTGAAATGCAAGCGACCTGCTAATGACAAAAACGTTGAGGAGGAAGCTAAGGATTAGACAGTTAGATAGTGCGAGGCCTTCTATGCGGGAGGTACAGAGTTCGATTCCCGAGGTATGACTACAAATCCTTTTCGTGTAGCTTTTATTAGCTTTAAATATCCTTCAAGACCTCATAAATAATTCATAAAGAGAAAAACAAAAGAAATTAATGTTTTATGAGTGTCTTTATATCTGATAAAGACACGGCTAAACTTTACGTCCAATTTTTTGGACCAAAATAACCCCAAATCTTGATACTAGTGCAAGAGTGAGTTGATCTTATATCGGAGATTTTGAAGCCGTTCAAAAACCTCGCAGTCGTGTATTACCAGGTTTAAAAACTCTCGGTTTCGCCTCGACCTTTTTTAACCTGATAATACACTCCTGCTGCGAATTTTAAACAGTACGTAAAACAGAACACTGATGGAGAGATGGGGGAGGGTAAAATAAGCAGACCGTCGACCTTAGGTTTGTTAGTTAGATGACTATTTCGAGCTACAGATGTAAAATAAGGACTTTTTTTACCTTAACCTTTTAATCAAAGGTTCGTCCCAGCCAGTCTCTCCACACTTCAACTGTTCCTAATCATTCCTGATTCCCTATTTTCTACATGCTGAATGATTACCATGACTTTTCTTTAACTTATTTTCACTCAGCTAAAGGTCACTGGCACCCTGTTCGTGTGTTCACGCATCGCAAAGCTTCAGTCAAGAAGATTCTAATTGCTTCTGGAGCATAAGTTCCAGAGCAAGAACAAAGGATGACCATAGAAAGGTCCAGCATTCCGTTTGTGACTACTTATTAAACCTGGCAACTGAATTGCTGCCAGATTGTAGCGTATCCAGCAAGGAGTGCTAGCCATTGGCGGCGTTTTCAAGTATTAACGCAAGTTAACTTAGTCTCGGAAGAGAACAGTAAACTCTATTCACGGGCAGAACGTTCATTATTGATCGACTAATTAATTTCAGCATAGTTAGTGGGGGACCAACAGAAGCACAAAAGAAAAAAGGACTCCTTAATATGCTTTTTCTGGTGCCTTTAGGTTTTAATTCGTTTGTAGTTTGCGCAGTACTGGTTAATTACCACTTTCCAAGGTTCCTTTGCGGGTGAAAAAATGAAAATAAAGGTTGTCGGAAAAAATGTGCACGCGACAATCCCGAAAGGTAATATGGGATATGATCACTGTTTCTGACACTGTAGCTGTCGAACCTACTTTTGTTGCTTAGTTTTAGCACTAGCTTACACACGTCCGTGGCCTTTCGTGTCATTCTTTCAAACTGCTTTGAAGAACAGTGAATTCAAAACCACCCACAATACCATTGGGATTGTCGCGTGCACTTTTTCCGACAACCTTCTTCGAAATAGCGGTATACACACTGCAGAATGCCAGTGCGACTTTCTGTTACCTCATACATTACTCGAATGAGCGCTGGAACAAGCGCCGCATTTGAAGCGTAAATAATAAGCACCGTGGTGAAAGAGCGGATAAACACCACCAACAAAAACATCTAAAAGAAACAGGGTTGCTGTTGGTTTGCTTAGGACAGGTGAGCGGATTACCCATATAAGGACAAGAGAGAACAGTGTCCTCTCTGATACGACCCATTCCATAGGCGACTCTGTTAGCTATGTTTAGTAACAAAATAGCTAGAAACTGAAGTTAAATATCTTTTAAAGCTTTAATGTAATTACCTGAAATTTTGTCACACTGCTAAAATCGTCGTTTTCTAATTATAAACCTGTCAGTTTTCCGATCTTAAGATCTTGGCGGGAAAATGGCGCCACAAAGCCGGTGCACTTTGCGGCTACATAAACACTGTTAATCTGTGTTGACAGGCTCGCAGGCGAAAAAACTATTGAAAATATATAATTATAAGCAAAAAGTACATTTTACCGTACTTTGGTTTTAATTATATAAAGTAATTTTTTTATTAATTAGTCGAAACTGGCTGGTCAGACCAGTCTTTAAGAGACTGATTCCACTATCAATCAGAACGTCCCAGCCAGATCAGTCTATTCAAGTGTAAATATTTCTAACGGCAGTGATGGGTTTTTAGCCAACCTATTCAAAGAAAAGCCTATTTCTTTTGCGAAATCCGGCCGGCCAGTATTGACTTTGGTACACACCCTTACTAGGGCATCATAACTTACAGGACAAAATGTTTTAGCTTGCAGTAAAATCATAAGTAAACGTTGATATGGCAACAACGGCTGTCTTTCCGGCTACTAAAATGTTAAAAAATATATATACAGTTAAGTACGAGTCAAACAGTCTCAAGAGGACATGTCTCAACATTGTCACAACATTTCTTGACAGACGATGTAATTACGGCATGAAATCACCTCTGTAGTACGTTTCTGTAATATGTTGGCAGAGGGAAGGGGGGGAGGGGTCCAGCCCTCCCGCCTCCCGTACATTGCATTCCCAGCTCCCACTCCTGTATTCTTGGCATTTTACCTTTAGCCTTTTTTCGATTGCGAAATAAGTGAGCAATGTTGTGTAATTCCCCTGCCCCTCCCCCCCTCCCATTAGCCCCCAATGTATCGAGATTGCCACCCTTTTAGAACTCCCGCCTTCCGTAACCATCCCGCCCCCTTTCCTCCCAATCGCTTTAAAAGTTCCCTTGTTCTCGAAATGTAAGTGATAACCATGATTATTCCATTGAGTATGTCGACCGTTTGGTGATCCAGCATGCTCTCATTATCTCTCCACATTTTATCGACAAAGATTGACAGAATGCTGAAAAAAGGTCGCGACTCTCTGACCGACGGTTTAAGCCCCCGGGGGGAGTACTCCTTTATATAAGCCATATAGGTATGTTCGGCC